ATTAAAAATTCGGCGTATTTTAAAAATAGACAAGAAAAATTAAATGAAAAGAATGAGGGAAAAAAATGGTTCCGCCATTTAATTGTAGACGGTGCAACGGAAGACACTGGGAGTTAAATTGCCCATATAGAAATAAAAAATGTTTCGTGTGCCACAAGAATGGTCACAAAGGGTCGTGTTGTAAAACGAAAAAAGTCAATAGCCGAATTAGACAAACAAATTCAAATATCAAATCAGATAGAGATTTGAGGAAGTATGTGACGACTGAAATATTTAAAAAGAATATCAAATTTCAACTCGATTCGGGTTCAGATTTAACAATAATGAACTATAAACATGGAAAATTTTAAAAAAGGCCTACAATAATGAAGTCAACGAAACGCGCTCGAACAGTGACTGGAAAAGGAAATTAAATTCGAAGGCGAGGTTGTACTTCCATGAAATTGAACAGGATAGTTAAAAAATAAGTTTTCATTCTGAAAAATGGAGAACTTGATGGGTACAGATTTTATTGAAACATTCGAATTGTGGGATAAACCGTTAAACTCTTTCTGCAGAAAAGTAGAAAGTAATACGCAAACAAGACAGGACATTAATGAGGAATTAAAAAAAAAAGTTTCCGGAAACTTTCACACCTGGTCTTGGAAGATGTAACAAGTTTGAAGCCAAATTCGAATTAAAGGAAAAATACTATGCCAATTTTAAAAAAAACGTAACGTGCCTTTCGCAAGTGTAGAGAAAATTAACGAAGAACTTGATAGGTTGGAAAAAATGGGAATTATTTCGAAAGTAGAATCTAATTCATGGGCTGCGCCGATTGTGTGCATAAAAAAGAAATCAAACCAAGTCAGTCTGCGTTGATTTTTTCGACAGGGTTGAACTCGGTAATTAAGGACTACCGTTACCGAGTCCGGAGGAGATTTTAACAAGCTAAATGGTGGAGTTATATTTTCAAAATTGACTTATCTGATGCCTATCTCCAAATTCCCGTCGAAGAGGAATGTTCGAAGTTACTAGGGATAAACACGCATAGAGGGTTATTCAAGTACAACAGGCTTCCTTTTGGTATTAAAGTGGCATCTGCCATTTTTCAACAAGCTATGGACGTCATGCTGAATGACTTAGACTTTGCGTGCGCTTACTTAGATGACATCATAGTAAGGAGCGAATCGGTCGACGAACATCGAGAGCATCTCAATCAAGTATTTAAAAAGATTCAGGACTTTGGTTTAAAGTCAAAAGTGCGAATTTGGTTTGGAGGAAATTAAGTATTTAGGGCACATAATCAACAAAATGGCAGATGTCCAGATCCGGAAAGGTCCATTGCGATTAGACATGCCGACGCCCACTAATGTGGCGATGCTACAAAGTTTTCTAGGGCTTGCAAATTATTATCAAGCGTTCATTAAAGGAATGTACAATTTAAGAGCTCCGTTGAATGAACTGCTAAAAAAAAGACAAAGGCATGGGAATGGACGGTAGAATGTCAGAAAGCCTTTGATGAAATAAAGAAAATTCTTACGTCCGACCTCTCTTTTAACCCATTACAATCAAAACTGGATATTGTAGTGGCAAGTGACGCTAGTTCATACGGGATAGGAGCGTGTATTCAACACATGCCAGATGGTTCTAGAAAACCAATTGCACACGCTTCGAGAACTTTGCTCCCAGGAGAAAGTTACTCTAAGATAGAAAAAAGAGGCACTGAGTATCATTTTGCCATACAAAAAATTTCACAGGTACATACACGGCAGACATTTTATCCTTGAAACGGATCATAAACCACTGATCACTATTTTGGTTCAAAGAAAGGGTTACCCGTTTATACAGCAAATCGTCTGTTAAGATGGGGAACCATTCTTCTCAATTATGATTTTCACATAAAGCACCTATCATCCAAAAAGATAATTTATGCGGATAGTCTATCAAGACTAGTACCGAGTCAAGGAGAAAGATTCGAAGAATCAATTATTGCAAATATCAGAGCAGATTATGAGGTGAAAAGCATGGTAAACAACATTGTAAGAGAGCTACCGGTTACGCTAAATGAAATTAAAAAGCTGAAAGCGATGATTTCATTTAGAAATTAAAAACAAAATGGTAGCAAATGACCAAAAAGTGCAGGAGATTTTTCAATAGGTGACGGAGTTTTATTATATGGTGAGAGAGTAGTAATACCAAAGAAGCTGCAGAAAAGAATACTTCGGGACTTTCATATGGGTCACCCGGGTATTAATAGAACAAAAAGCTTAATGCGAAGCTTTGTGTATTGGAATGGATGTGGATATCGAAAACATGGTTCATCGATGTAAGGGGTGTGCGTTAGCAGCTAAGGCACCACCTATAGTACACAAACCATGGCCCAAGACGGATCATCCGTGGACAAGATTACACATTGATTTCGCTGGTCCAGTAGAAGATTTTTACTACTTAATAGTGGTAGATAGTTTTACAAAATGGCCGGAAGTACTACGCTGTAAAAAGCCTACGTCCAATACCACAACAACTTTTTGCATGAACTATTTGCACGGTTCGGTGTGCCAGAGTGTATTGTGGTGACAATGGTACACAATTCACTTCTGAAGAATTTAAGGAATTTTGTGAGTTATATCAAATTAACCACATAACGACGCCTCCGTATCATCCGAGGTCTAATGGACTCGCAGAAAGATTTGTCGATACTTTAAAGCGAGCTCTGAAGAAAGCCTCAGGAGTTCCAACGGAAAAGGCGCTTCAGCAATTCTTACAAGTATACAGAATCACGCCAAACCAGAGACACACTCAAACATGGCACCAGCTGAACTAATGTTCGCTAGGAAAGTTAAGTCAGTGTTTGACAAGCTTTTGCCAGGAAAAAAATAGAGTAAAAAAAAATACCATGTATACAGCGAGAAAAAAGATACACTCCCGGAGAGAGGTGTTTTTCAAGTGCTATAAAAACAACGTTGAGTTCTGGGAACGAGGCATAGTGGACAAGAGAATCGGTGACCTGATTTACATAATTAAAGGGCCGAAGAATACTCATAAAAGGCACCAAAACCAACTTAAATAAGATTACGGTATAGAGCAAGAAGAGTGTATACCGGATGAGGACGAAGATCCCATTGATATAATGTATATGTTTCAGGTAGAACCTCCACAGAATACACCTGAACCAAGAAGATCCGCTAGAAACGGAAGTTGACGGACCCATTGGACGTGCATCAAAACGGAAAAAATATTAAAATTAGGCAAATGGATCTACAAAGAAATAGCCATAATCATCAACCCATATAGGAAGCCAATTTGAAATCCAAAAGGGATTCCAAGGCTTGGGAGGAGGGTGTTGTGGTACGATACACCTAATTTACATAAGTGGAGTACCGACCATATAAATATGGGTTGGTACCGGAAGACGGGGGAGATAGTAAGAGATCGAATCCAGAGACTCTGCCCGACTGCGATTTAGTCAACCCATTCTGCAGGAGCAGTCTTCCCAAGAATATACCAAAACTAACTGTAAATATTGTGTACCCTTTCATTGTTTCAATACATTTTGTTTACGTACATTTTGCGTTGTATTATTATTATTCCATGCTTATCCAAGTTTCAACATTAAGCCAAGTCAATCTTTAAAAACAGTCTGGTGTTCAATATCTACCGAAAGGTTCAACTCGACACTGCCGACTCAACACCTCCAACTTAATACCGCCGACTCAACACCACCCACTCAACAATGGCCCTGTCAACAATGGCCGACTCAACACCGCCCAGTCAACAATGGCCGACTCAACACCGCCCAGTCAACAATGGCCGACTCAACACCGCCCAGTCAACAATGGCCGACTCAACACCGCCCAGTCAACAATGGCCGACTCAACACCGCCCACTCAACAATGGCCCACTCAACACCGCCCAGTCAACAATGGCCCACTCAACACCGCCCACTCAACAATGGCCCACTCAACACCGCCCACTCAACACCGCCGATTGAGTACCGGCACAACCCAGAACTGAGACAACTCTGCCCCAGAAAATATAATTTTTTTATAACTTAATAAAAGTAATTCATTAAAGATTAAACACCTTTATTAGGGAATATTTTTCTGCAAATAAAGCATTTGAAAAGGCATTGTTTTTAATTATTTTTAATAAAGTAAATCGTAAAAAAAAAATGTATTTTTAATAAAATAACTTGACATATAAAACATAATTCAATAAAACACTTGTTTTTATTTATTTTTTAATAAAATAATTCGAAAAATGCAAAATAATATGAAGCGGATTTTTGTTTTGAATTAGTTTTAATAAATTAAATCGTAATGTAATTTATTTTTAATAAAGCAAATCGATATTCTAAAATATTTTTATAGAAAATAATTTGGCGCTGCTCTGTCTCGATCCTGAGTTGTCCCGGCAATCAGTCGGCGGTGTTGAGTCGGCGGTTTTGAGTTGTCCTGTACTCACCTGAGCAGGAAAGAATTATGTCAAACCTTACGTGTCATTTCTAGCTTCAAACTTCCAAGATGACGACAATTTTAAAATTTTCAGAATTCAGGATATTTCAGACAAATTGCTGACTTTAGTTTACACCTGCGCAGAACAACCCGGTTTTCATCCTGACTGCGCAGATTGACGTTAACATCATTCAGCAAATAGATCTTTAGATTTCAATGAGTATTTATGTTATATGTCGATAAAACACGATGTAGCTAATAATATAAGACGCAGTAGACAGCCTTTCATTAGTCGACACATAAATCTGAGACGTAATTATAGACATTGTATCAATCAAAAATTCCTTTGCTATTGGGCTGTCTTGGTGGGTTGGGTTTATTTGCGAATGGTACTTATCGCAGATTTTACAAGAACATAACAATGATGACACTGTGTCATTGTAAGAAACAAATCTAAAAACGCGCAGAATGTTTCAGATGGGTAAGTGGATAAAATGGCAGCAAGCCTAGTTCTGCTGTGAGCAGTCGATTTCGTGTCGAGCTTTTAAATGCTGATCTAAAAAGGATTCTGTTTACTCTTCATCTCCCGATTCTCTATCTATCTATCTACTTTTTTGTTTGCTCTTCATCACATTTCTCTCTCTTCTTGCTCTTCATTTCTCTCTCTTTCTCCCACTCTATCTATCTATCTATCTATCTGAGTTTGTTAATTATCTATCTATCTTATGTTTGCTCTTCAGCACATTTCCCTCTCTCTGTCTGCTTTTCATTCTCATTTCTCTCTCTTTCTCCCAATCTATTTATCTGAGTTTGTTAATTATCTATCTATCTACTTTTTCTTTGCTCTTCATATTATTTCTGTCTCTCTCTCTCTCTCTATATATATATATATATATATATATATATATATATATGTGTGTGTGTGATTGCTCTTCATTTCCTCATTTCTGTTTTTCTCATTCTATCTATCTATCTGAGTTTGTTAACTATCTATCTATATATATATATATATATATATATATATATATATATATATATATATATATATATATCTGAGTTTGTTAATTATCTATCTATCTACTTTTTTTTATGTTTGCTCTTCATCACATTTCTCTCTCTCTCTCTATGTTTGCTCTTCATTTCCTCATTTCTCTCTCTTTCTCGCAATCTATCTATCTATCTTCGTTTTTCTTTGTCGTCGTCGTATTCTTCTTGCATCTTTTTCTTCTTCATCTTCTTTTTCTCCTCCTTCTTCGTCTCTCTTCTTCTTCATCTTTTTCTCCTCCTTCTTCGTCTCTCTTCTTCTTCATCTTCTTTTTCTCCTTCTTCGCCTTCGTATTTCTTCTTCTTCTTTGCCTTCTTCTTTCTCGTCTTCTTTCTTCTCCTTAGTTTTCTTTTTTTACACTTTTTCGTTGTAATCCATTACTACTGTTATTATTATTACTACTACCACTGTTACTACTACTACTATTACTACTACTACTACTACTAATAATAATAATATAAATTCTTTTTTCGTCTTTTTCTATTACCACTCCTCCTACTACAACTAATGATAATACAAATTGTTGTTGTTGTTCTTTTTCTTTTTCTTCATATTATTATTATTATTATTATTAAATGCTTTACATTCAGTTCATTATTAATAAAATACTTTATTTTCAGATGTTTACTGCTCGCTTCCATCTGAAAAGAATAAAGAAATCGTTATAAAAAGAAAAGGTTGAGAACGTTAAATAAATTAAAAATTGATTTCTTTCTTCATTACTTATCAGACATTTCCTTTCTTGATCAATGTCTTCTTTGCGCCTCCCGGTTTCTTGCTTTTACCAAGATAAATATTCAAGATTAACTCTTGCCAAAATAAGATATTATTTATTTATTGCGAATTTCAAGCACCATAATTAAAGAATAAGCATTTGATTCCTATTTTCTCCCCAGAAACAGAAGAATTATTTTCCTGACAAAAAAAGGCGTAGGCGTTCGTTATCTACACCCAACGCGATCCTCTCCTGAGCCTCGTTTTCATCCAACGTAGCCTCGTTTTGGACGCCTCAATGTAATGTAATGGTCTGGGCTTGTAAATCATTAGTAGTACGTTGCCTCCTTACGAGGTACCCTATATTTGTGGCCTTGTGCCAAAACTAAACTAGGTTTTTTGTAAGTAAGAACAACAGTCTTGTTTTGTCGGAAGAACAAAGTTATTAGGACGACACTTGTTCTCCCTGTGTGTGTTGAAGAATGAGACGACATCAAACAAAAGAGAAAGGGAGGAACACGTTTTTTTCGCTTTTCTTTTAGTGTTAAATTATGGCACGCAAATTATACCAAAGCTGGCTGCATAGAATAAAGCAAGTAAGGTGTGTCCACTGTTAAGAGGCAAGGCAAGGAGACGTAGTTAACAACCCTAATCTCTCTCTCTCTCTCTCTCTCTCTCTCGTTTTCACTTTGTTTTATACTATCTCCTCTATCTTTCTAAAATCTTATATTCTCTCTCATCCTTTTCTGATCTCAGTTTTTGCTTTCTCTCTCTCCGTTACTCCTGATTAGCGTCTCTCTCATTTAATTTCCTTTCCTTCTGTCTCTCTCGGTCTTTTCATCTCTTTATCTTGTACCATTTCTTTATTTATTTATTTATTTATTTATTTATTTCGGACGAAAATCTTGTGACCATATGTTTACGTCGTTATTCTGGTTGTTTGCGTAAACGACCTTTACGCTTTTCTCCCTTGGATCAGGGTGTAGTATCTGCCCAATTCCAGGCCCTTCTGATCAATACTATTATTTTGCTTGTTTGTATGTTTTTTTTCTACTAAGGATCAAAGTGTTGTATCTGTCCAATGTCCATCTCTTCTGATTTATACTATTATTCTGTCTGTTTGTGCGATCTTTACGCTCTTCTACCTTGGATCAGAGTGTAGTATCTGCTCGATTTCTGGCCCTTCTCATCCACAGTAGCTGGACATAGCAAAAAGTTGATCTGTTGGCTCGTTAATAGCGGGTTAACAAGTCCCAGACGCCCAAGACCTTGTCTGTCATTTGTATTTTTCCTTCCTTCCACCAATGAACATCCTACAAAGTGTGCCATTTTGAAATTAATTTAACCTTATCCTCAATATCTGTCTTTATTTCTGAGATGAGGTATTATGTCACACTATTTACATTATTCGGACTATTGTCCTCATCTTTGTCGCCATATTTATTACAACGTTTCGGCCTTTCAGTATCTGTCTATATTTCTGAGATTAGGTATTATGTACACTATTTACATTATTTGGACTATTGTTCTCATCTTTGTCGCCATATTTATCACAACGTTTCGGCCGTTGTACGCTCCGGCCTTCTTTAGGTGATTGGAATGTCGAACTTGACTTTATTTCGCTCACTGGGATAGACTGTTCTAGTTCCACGTGCCATGTCTAATGGATGTTAGTTATCAGTTATCTCCTGCTAATTTTCCCTCTGAAAGTATTGAACTCATACACTTTGGGTCCTATCACTGGATCTAACTAACGCCTTAATCCACTGTGCCATGTGTCCTTGAGGACATCTGTGGATGAACTTCTGGGTATTATATACTTAATGTCTTCAGCAACCATTTTTACCTGTGCTCATATTGCAATTTTCTGTTATCATTTCATGTTTTTACCAGAGCTCATATTGCAATTTTTGTTTTATTATCGCTTTTCTCTGGCACTCCTTATTACTGGTTCTCATATTGTATTCATTTCTATGCTTGGTCATCAGGAGATTTTTTGTGGCTAGCATATACGCTGATTCATTAAGTTTACGAATTTTTCTAATGATGTGCTTTGTCTGTGATCTCAACCTGATCCCACAGAGGGCGGTGATCTCCCTTTTCTCTCCATATGTGGTTAGCCACGCCTGGTTTTTCCACTTCACCTAGTGTTACAGCTTTCTGGTGTTCTTGAAGCCTTACCTAAAGGGGGCGACATGTCTCCCCTTTATATTTCTTTCCGCAGCTGCACGGGATAGTGTACACACAGTCTTTAGTCATGTTCTCCTCTATGGGGGGTCTCACTTGGGAGAGATATCTGCGAAGTGTCGTCAAGATTTTGAAGGTTGTCCTGATTTTTCTAAGTGTAGTTGTCCTTTTGTGCTCGCCTATTCCAATTTTGGGGGACTGTTGCCATGTACCCAGGGTAGTTGTTACGTTGTAGTGTACTACTTATACTGACCAATTCTTTATCTAATGTCTCTGGGTCACCACTTATAACTTTTGCTCGGTGTTGTAAGCAGCGGAGGATCCATTTCCTTACGCTGTAAGGTGGGAGTTATCCTCAAAGACACTCAAGCATTTTATATTTACATTCTTCCTTTTCTATATCCCGTGTTACTTCATGACGTTGGCGATCATGGCTCTCCACAATTTCCCATCATTTATGTCTTTTTGTTATCACTCCTAAACCTTGCTTCAACATCAATTGAAAAAGGCTATCTAAATAGGTGAACCGCCTTTCTTAGCAGCTAACCTAGCAAAAGATTCACTGTCGTCTATCCAACTCATGTCACCTGAGAAAGTTAGCACGAGAAGGCGCAATGGGTCACTTTCTTAGAGGATAGCATCAGCCATGCTGATGGAAGACAGAGAGGAGTTTCTCAGATCCTTAACGGAGGTAAGTTTAGTTTTCTTTTTCCCCAGTCGCCTTAGTTCTGAAGGACGTTAACCCTGTAGAGACTAGATGAACAGGGATATTTTAATTAAAATTTTAAATCATGTTTTTTTTTTATCTGTCTATATTTTTAAGATCAGGTATTATGTACACTATTTACATTATTCGGACTATTGTCCTCATCTTTGTCGTCATATTTATCACAACGTTTCGGCCTTTCAGTATCTGTCTATATTTCTGAGATGAGGTATTATGTACACTATTTACATTATTCGGATTATTGTCCCCATCTTTGTTGCTATTATTTATCACAACGTTTCTACCATTGTACGTTCCGGCCTTCTTCAGGTAGTTAGAATGACGAACTGAAGCCTTTATTTCTTTCGTTGGGGTAGACTGTTCTAGTTCCACCGGGAGAAATTTTCTGTCTCCAAAATGCAACTACTATCTTTTAATCGTCTGAAAGAATCCTTTTGCTCTTTCGTCGACAGTACTTGGAATATTACACACAATTTTGGCAAGTTCTTTTACAATTTCCCACCTGACTTACTCGACACCAGAAAACACTGACTACAAGCACTCACGCTTATATTGCTATTTATCTTGTCTAGTTTTTTCCATAAAACACAAGGAAGGGTCTGTAATGTTATCGGTCCTCACCTGGCATCTCGACTTCAGTCATGTTCCTACTACATGACATAGCTTCTTCTGTCTTTCCTTTAATTATCTTCATTATCTGTCTATATCTCTGAGATGAGGTATTATGATTTACATTATTCGGACTGTTGTCCTCATCTCCATTGCCATATTCACAACATTTCGGTCGTTGTACGCACCGGACTTCATCAGGTGATTGTATCTCTGAGACGAGGTATTATGATTACTTGCATTATTTAGATTATTCGGACTGTTATGCTCATCTTCATTGCCATATTCACAACGTTTCGGCTGATGTGTGCTTCGGCCTTCTTCAGATGATTGGATCTCTGAGACGAGGTATTATTATTACTTGCATTATTTACATTATTCGGACTGTTATCCCCATCTTCATCTTCTTTCACAACGTTTCGGCTGTTGTACGCTCCGGCCTTCTTCAGGGGATTTTAAGATAATAAAAATTACCGTCATATAGTTATACATTATTGGCGATGTCAAAAGAAAAAAAAGTCCTTTTGACACACCGTATTTTTGCGAGTTTGTATGTTAAACTTTGCCGATAGAACTTGCTCGTCAAGATCAAGGGAAATATCTCATAAAAAAACAAAAAAACTTTCCAATTATGAGTGCGAAACTGGCTAAAATGTTATTGGTTGGTCCGGACAATTGAAGGCTTATTTTTATAGATGAAACCGATAGTTTCGTTTCGCTTCCGTTGCTAAAGAATCTCCCTTTGAATTCATACAGCAAACATTATTTGATATGGAACAGATTTAAACTGAATGGGATAATGTCCAAAATTCGACAAGATTTTTTTGCCAGTTAAAATTTGTAAATTATTTTTATAGGTTTTATTAGGTTAAGCTTACTGAAGACAGTTTGAAAAACAAAAACAAAATGCAGAAGCTCTATATTTGACAGCAGCCATTTTTTTTCGATCATATTTTCTTTCTTTTTCAGATTATTGCGCTTTCCTTTTTTCTGTTGTCTATTTTTGCTTATTTCTTCTTTCTTTCTTTCTTTGGTTTATTTTAACTTATCGTTTCTTTCCTTTTCAGCTTATTATTTTTTTTCTTTTTTTGTATTGTCTGTTTTAGCTCATTGATTCTATCTTTCATTTTTACTTTCTTTCTTTGGCCTATCTTAACTTATTCTTTCTTTCTTTTTTACTTTCTTTCTTTGGTCGATCTTAGCTTATTGTTCTTTCTTTCTTTTTTACTTTCTTTCTTTCTTTGGTTGATCTTAACTTATTGTTTCTTTCATTGTTTCTTTCTTTTTCAACTTATCACTTCTTTCTTTCTTTTTCAGCTTATCACTTCTTTCTTTCTTTTTCAGTTTATTACTTCATTCTTTATTTTCAACTTATTGCTTCTTTCTTTCTTTTTCAGCCTATTGCTTCTTTCTTTCTTTTTCAGCCTATGGCATCTTTCTTCCTTTTTCAGCTTATTATTTCTATCTTTCTTTTTCAGCTTATTGCTTCTTTCTTTCTTTTTCAGCTTTTTCTTTCTTTCTTTTTCAGCTTATTGCTTCTTTCTTTTTCAGCCTATTGATTCTTTCTTTCTTTTTCAGCTTATTACTTCTTTCTTTCATTCTTTTATACTTCTTTCTTTCTTTTTCAGCCTATTGCATCTTTCTTCCTTTTTCGGCTGATTACTTTTTCTTTCATTTTCAGCTTATTGCTTCTTGCCTCTTTCTTTCTTTTTCAGCTTATTACTTCCTACTTTATTTCTTTTTGAGCTTATTAATTCTTTCTTTTTTTCAGCTTATTGCTTCTTTCTTTCTTTTGTTTTCAGCTTATTACTTTCTTTCTTTTTCAGCTTACTGCCTCTTTCTTTCTTTTTCAGCTTATTACGTCTTTCTTTTTCAGCTTATTGCTTCTTTTCTTTCTTTTTCAGCCTATTGCATCTTCCTTTCATTTCGGCTGATTACTTTTTCTTTCTTTTTCAGCTTATTACTTCTTTCTTTCTTTTTCAGCTTATTACTTCTTTCTTTCTTTTTCAGCTTATTACTTCTTTCTTTCTTTTTCAGCTTTTTCTTTCTTTCATTTTCAGCTTATTACTTCTTTTTCAGCTTATTGCTTCTTTCTTTTTCAGCTTATTATTTCCTACTTTCTTTCTTTTTGAGCTTATTACTTTCTTTTTTTCAGCTTATTGCTTCTTTTTCTTTCTTTTTCTGCTTAATACTTCTTTCTTTGTTTTCAGCTTATTACTTTCTTTCTTTTTCAGCTAATTGCTTCTATCTTTCTTTTCAGCTAATTGCTTCTATCTTTCATTTTCAGCTAATTGCTTCTATCTTTCTTTTTCAGCTAATTGCTTCTATCTTTCTTTTCAGCTAATTGCTTCTATCTTTTTTTTCAGCTAATTGCTTCTATCTTTCTTTTTCAGCTAATTGCTTCTATCTTTCTTTTTCAGCCTATTGCATCTTTCTTTCTTTTTCAGCCTATTGCATCTTTCTTTCTTTTTCAGCCTATTGCATCTTTCTTTCTTTTTCAGCCTATTGCATCTTTCTTCGTTTTTCGGCTGATTACTTTTTCTTTCTTTTTCAGCTTATTGCCTCTTTCTTTCATTTTCAGCTTATTACTTTCTTTATTTTCAGCTTATTGCCTCTTCTTTCTTTCTTTTTCAGCTTATTACATCTTTCTTTATATTTCAGCTTATTGCTTCTTTCTTTTCAGCCTATTGCATCTTTCTTCCTTTTTCAGCTTATTCTTTCTTTCTTTTTCTGCTTATTCTTTCTTTCTTTCTTTCTTTTTCAGTTTATTACTTCTTTCTTTTTTAGCCTATTGCTTCTTTCTTTTTCAGCTTATTACTTCTATCTTTCTTTCTTTTTCAGCTTACTGCTTCTTTCTTTCATTTTTAGCTTATTGCTTCTTTCTTTTTTACTTCTTTCTTTCTTTTTCATCTTATTGCTTCTTTCTTTTTCAGCTTATTGCTTCTTTCTTTCTTTCTTTTTCAGCCTATTGCATCTTTCTTCCTTTTTCGGCTGATTACTTTTTCTTTCTTTTTCAGCTTATTACTTCTATCTTTCATTTTCAGTTCTTGCCTCTTTCTTTCTTTTTCAGCTTATTGCTTCTTTACTTCTTTCTTTTTCAGCTTATTACTTCTTTATTTTCAGCTTATTGCTTCTTTCTTTTTCAGCCAATTGCATCTTTCTTCCTTTTTCGGCTGATTACTTTTTCTTTCTTTTTCAGCTTATTAATTTATTTTCAGCTTATTGCTTCGTTCTTTCTTTTTCAGTTTATTGCTTCTTTCTTTCTTTTTCAGCTTATTACTTCATTCTTTCTTTTTAACCTTATTACTTCTTTCTTTCTTTATTTTCAGCTTATTGCTTCTTTCTTTTTCAGCCTATTGCTTTTTTACTTTCTTTCTTTTTCAGCTTATTGCTTCTATCTTTCATTTTCAGCTTCTTGCCTCTTTCTTTCTTTTTCAGCTGATTACTTCCTACTTTCTTTCTTTTTGAGCTTATTACTTTCTTTTTTTCAGCTTATTGCTTCTTTCTTTCATTTTCAGCTTATTGCTTCTATCTTTCATTTTCTGCTTATTGCCTCTTTCTTTTATTTCTGCTTATTACTTTCTTTCTTTTTCAGCTTATTGCTTCTTTCATTTTCAGCTTATTGCTTCTTTCGTTATTTTCAGCATATTGCCTCTTTCTTTCTTTTTCAGCTTATTACTTCTTTCTTTCTTTTTAAGCCTATTGCTTCTTTATTTCTTTTTCAGCTTACTGCTTCTTTCTTTTTCAGCTTATTGCTTCTTTCTTTCTTTTTCAGCTTACTGCTTCTTTCATTTTCAGCTTATTGCTTCTTTCTTTCTTTTTCAGCTTATTGCTTCGTTCTTTTCATTTTCAGCTTATTGCTTCGTTCTTTCTTTTTCAGCTTACTGCTTCTTTCATTTTCAGCTTATTGCTTCTTTCTTTCATTTTCAGCTTATTGCTTCTTTCTTTCTTTTTCAGCTTACTGCTTCTTTCATTTTCAGCTTATTGCTTCTTTCTTTCTTTCTTTTTCAGCTTATTACTTCTTTCTTTTTCAGCTTATTGCTTCTTTCTTTCTTTTTCAGCTTTTTCTTTCTTTGAATTTTCAGCTTATGCTTCTTTTTCAGCTCTTTCTTCTTTCTTTTTCAGCTTTTACTTCCTACTTTCTTTCTTTTTCAGCTTATTACTTTCTTTTTTTCAGCTTATTGCTTCTTTTTCTTTCTTTTTCTGCTTATTACTTCTTTCTTTGTTTTCAGCTTATTACTTTCTTTCTTTTTCAGCTTATTGCATCTTTCGTTCTTTCTTTTTCAGCTTATTGCTTCTACCTTTCTTTTTCAGCTTATTGTTTCTATCTTTCTTTTTCAGCTTATTGCTTCTTTCTTTCTTTTTCAGCTTATTGCTTCTTTCTTTCTTTTTCAGCCTATTGCATCTTTCTTTCTTTTTCAGCCTATTGCATCTTTCTTCCTTTTTCGGCTGATTACTTTTTCTTTCTTTTTCAGCTTATTGCCTCTTTCTTTCTTTTTCAGCTTACTGCTTCTAACTTTCATTTTCAGCTTATTACTTCTTTCTTCATTTTCAGCTTATTGCTTCTTTCTTTTTTACTTCTTTCTTTCTTTTTCATCTTATTGCTTCTTTCTTTTTTACTACTTTCTTTCTTTTTCATCTTATTGCTTCTTTCTTTTTCAGCTTATTGATTCTTTCTTTCTTTTTCAGCTTATTACTTCTTTTTCAGCCTATTGCATCTTTCTTCCTTTTTCGGCTGATTACTTTTTCTTTCTTTTTCCGCTTATTGCTTCTTTCTTTCTTTTTCAGCTTACTGCTTCTTTCTTTTTCTTTTTTCAAAAATATTGCTTCTTTCTTTCATTTTCAGCTTAGTGCTTCTTTCTTTTTCAGCTTTTTCTTCTTTCTTTTTCAGCTTATTGCTTTTATTTCTTTTTTCAAAACATTGCTTCTTTCTTTCTTTTTCAGCTTATTGCTTCTTTCTTTCTTTTTCAGCTTATTGCTTCTTTCTTTCTTTTTCAGCTTACTGCTTCTTTCATTTTCAGCTTATTGCTTCGTTCTTTCTTTTTCTGCTTACTGCTTCTTTCATTTTCAGCTTATTGCTTCTTTTTCTTTTTTTTCAGCTTTTATTGCTTCTTTCTTTTCAGCTTTTTCAGTTTACTTTTATTCTTTCTTTTGTTTTTCAGCTTAGCATTCTTCTTTCTTTTTCTTTTCTTCTTTTTTCTTTGCTTCTTTCTTTTTCAACTTATTTCTTCTAATTTTCTTTCTTTTTCAAAACATTTTTTTTTTTTTCAGCTTATTGCTTCTAATCTTTTTTTCAGCTTTCTGCTTCTTTCTTTTTTTCTTTCTTTTTTCTTTCTTTTTGCTTCTTTTTTTTTTTTTTCAGCTTATTTTCTTCTTTTTTTTCTTTTCAGCTTTTGCTTCTTTCATTTTTCTTTCTTTCTTTCTTTTCAGCTTTTGCTTTTTTCTTTTCAGCTCATTTCTTTCTTTCTTTTTCAGCTTATTGCTTCTTTCTTTTCTTTTTTCAACTTATTTCTTTCTTTCTTTCTTTTTTTAAACATCTTTTATTTTTATTCTTCTTTCTTTTTTTTGAGCTTATTGCTTCTTTTTTCTTTTCAGCTGTTACTTTTTCTTTTTTTTTTCTTTTTCAGCTTTATTTCTTCTTTTCATTCTTTCTTTTTCATTTTTCAACTTTCTTTCTTTCATTTTCAGCCTTGTCTTCTCTTTCTTTCATTTCAGCTTTTTTGCTTTCTTTCTTTCTTTTTCAGCTTATTGCCTCTTTCTTTTTTTCACGTCTTTCTTTCTTTTCATTCTTTCTTTTCTTTTTCAGCTTATTGCTTCTTTCTTTCATTTTCAGCTTATTGCTTCTTTCTTTTTTTCAGCTTTTCTTTCTTTTTGCTTTGCTTCTTTTCATTTTTCAGCTTATTGCTTCTTTCTTTCTTTTTCAGCTTATTGCTTCTTTCTTTCTTTTTCAGCTTACTGCTTCTTTCTTTTTCAGCTTATTGCTTCTTTCTTTCTTTTTTTTCAGCTTTCTTTTCAACTTCTTTCTTTCATTTTCAGCCTATGTCTTCTTTCTTTCTTTTTCTCAGCTTTTTTTTTTTCTTTTTCATTTTCAAATGCTTCTTTCTTTCTTTTTTCAGCTTATTTCTTCTTTCTTTCTTTTCAATTTTTTGCTTCTTTCATTTTCAGCTTATTGTTTTTTCTTTCTTTTTCTTTTCATCTTTGCTTTTTCATTTTTTTTCAGCCTTTATCTATTTCTTTCTTTCTTTCTTTTTCAGCTTTACTTTTTTCTTTTTCAGCTTATTGCTTTTTTCTTTCTTTTTCAGCTTTTTGGTTCTTTCTTTCAAATCTTTTTTATTTTTTATTTTTTCTTTCTTTTTTTTCAGCTTATTGCTTCTTTCTTTTCTTTTCAATTTTTCATTTCTTTCTTTCTTTTTTTTCTTTTAAACACTTTTTCTTTTCAGCTTCTTATTCTTTCTTTCTTTTCAGCTTCTTTTTTTCCTTTCAGCCTCCTTTCTTTCTTTCTTTTTTTTTGTTTTCTTTTTTTTTCAGCTTTAACTTCTTTTTTTTTCTTTTTCTTTCTTTCTTTTTTTTTCTTTTCAGCTTATTTGCCTCTTTCTTTCTTTTTCAATTATTAACTTCTTTCTTTTTTTTTTTTTTCTTTCTATCTTTTCTTCTTTTTTTCTTTTCTTTTCAGCTTACCACTTCTTCTTTTTTTTTTTTGCTTCTTTCTTTTTTTTCAGCTTCTTTTCTTCTTTTCTTTTTTTCTTTTCGTTCTTTCTTTCAACTTATTGCTTCTTTCTTTCTTTTTTTCTCTTATTGCTTCTTTCTTTTCTTTTCACCTTCTTTTTTTCTTTTCTTTCATTTTTTCTTTTTTAGCTTATTGCTTTCTGTTCTTTCTTTTCTTTCAGCTTACTGCTTCTTTCATTTTTTTCAGCTTATTTTCTTCTTTCTTTCTTTTCAGCTTTCTTTCCTTCTTCTTTCTTTTCAGCTTATTTTTTCTTTCTTTCTTTTGTGCTTATTGCTTCTTTCTTTCTTTTTCATTTCTTTCTTTCTTTTTTCTTTTTTTACTGCTTATTTTCTTTTCTTTTTCTTAGATTATTTTTCTTTCTTTTTTCCAAACTTTTTGCTTCTTTCTTTTTTTCAGCTTTTTCTTTCATTTCTTCCTTCTTTCTTTCTTTTTTTCAACTTCCCTGCTTCTTTCTTTCTTTTTTCTTTCTTCTTTGCCACTTATTGCTTCTTTCTTTCTTTTTTTTCTTTCTTCATTTCTTTCTTTCTTTTTTCAGCTTTTGTCTTCTTTCTTTCTTTTTTCAGCTTTTGCTTCTTTCTTTTTCTTTCAAAACGTGCTTCTTTTCTTTCCTTCTTTTTTCAGCCACTTTCTTTCTTTTTTCTTTTTTTTCTTTCATTTTCAGCTTACTTTCTTTCTTTCTTTTTTTTCATTTTCTTTATTTTCCATTTTCTTTTTATTTATTTTTTCTTTTTTTTTTTTTTTCAGCTTTTTTCTTTCTTTCTTTTCTTTCTTTCTTATTTTTTCTTTCTTTTTTTTTCAGCTTTTTTGTTCTTTCTTTTTTTTATTTATTTTTTTTTTTTTTTTCTTTCTTTTTTTTTCTTTTCTTTCTTTTCAGCTTATTCCTTCTTTCTTTCTTTTTCAGCTTATTGCTTTCTTTCTTTTCTTTTTTCTTTCATACTTTTCTTTTTTTTTTTCAACATTGCTTCTTTCTTTCTTTTCAGCTTATTGCTTTTCTTTCTTTTTTTTAGCTTATTCCTTTTCTTTCATTTTCAGCTTTTTGCTTCTTTCTTTCTTTTCAGCTTTCTTCTTTTTCTTTTTTCAGCTTTTCCTTCTTTCTTTCTTTTTCATATTCTTCTTTCTTTCTTTTTTTCTTTCTTTCTTCTTTCATTTTTTTTCAGCTTTTGCTTCTTTCTTTCTTTTTCTTTCTTTCTTTCTTTTCAGTTCTTGCTTCTTTCTTTCTTTTTTCATTTTTCTTTCTTTTTCTTTCTTTCTTTCTTTCAGCTTACTGCTTTTTTCTTTTTTTTTTCTCTCATTTTCTTTCTTTTTCATTTGTCTTTCTTTCTTTCTTTCAGCTTTTTTCTTTTTAGTTCTTTTGTTTTTCTTTCTTTCTTTTTCTTTTTTCAAATTCTTTCTTTCTTTTCAGCTTTTACTTTCTTTTCTTTCCAGCTTTTGCTTCTTTCTTTCTTTTTCAGCTTACTTTTAACTTTCTTTCAGCTTTTTTCTTTCTTTCTTTTGATCAACCCTCATTCTTTCTTTCTTTCTTTCTTTTCAAGGAACTTTCTTTCATTTTCAGCTTCTTTTCTTTCTTTCTTTTTAAACTTTCTTTTCTTTCTTTTTTTTTTCTTTCTTTCTTTCTGCTTTCAGAACACCTTTTTTTTTTTTCACTTTCTTTCTTTCTTTCTTTCTTTTTTTTTCTTTTGCTTCTTTCTTTTTTCTGTCTTTCCTTTTCAATTCTTCGTTTCTTTCTTTTCTTTTTCTTTCTTTTTCAACTTCTTTCTTTCTCTCTTTCTTTTTCAGCTTCTTTCTTTCTTTCTTTTTTCAGCTTACTTTCTTTCTTTCAGCTTTTTTCTTTCTTTCTTTTTCAGTTTACTGCTTCTTTCTTTTTTTTCAGCTTATTGCTTCTTTTTCTTTCTTTCTTTTTCTTTTGGCGGCAGCTTTTTCTTCTTTCTTTTTTTCAGCTTATTGCTTTTTCTTTCTTTTGCGGAAGAACTTTTTCCACTTATTTTTTTCTTTCTTTTTTTTTTTTGTCTGAATTTTCTTTTCTTCTTTCATTTTTCAATTTTTTTCAAGACTTCTTTCTTTTTTTCAAACTTATTTATTCTTTCATTCTTTTTTCAGCTTCTTTCTTTCTTTTTTCAGCTTATTCTTTCTTTCTTTTCTTTCTTTTTCTTTCTTTTTTTTCTTTTTCTGCTTCTTTTTTATTTCAGCTTATTCTTCGTTTCTTCTTTCTTTTTTTTTTTTTTCTTTTTATTGCTTCTTTCTTTCTTTTCAGCTTACTTCTTTCTTTTCTTCTTTCAGCGTCTTTTTCTTTCAGCTTCTTTTTGATTCTTTTTTCAGCTTAATTTTTCTTTCATTTTCAACTTCTTGCTTCTTTCTTTCTTTTTTTCTTTCTGCTTCTTTCATTTTCAGCTTATTTTTCTTCTTTCTTTCTTTTCTTCTTACTTTCTTTCTTTCTTTCTTTTTCTTTCTTTCTTTTCTGTTCTTTTCTTTCTTTCTTTTTTCTTTCTTTTCATTTTCAGCTTCTTCTTCTTTCTTTTCTTTTTTCTTTCTTTCTTTCTTTTCTTTCATCTTTCTTTCTTTCTTTTCAGCTTACTTTCTTTCTTTCTTTTTTTTTCTTTCTTTTTCTTTCTTTCTTTTTCAGCTTAACGTCTTCTTTTTCTTTTTCTTATTCTTTCTTTCTTTCTTTTTTTTTTCAACCCATTTTCTTTTTCTTCTTTTTTCAGCTATTTATTCTTTCATTTTCAGGCTTTTTTTCTTTCTTTCTTTTTCATCTTGTCTTTTCTTTCATTTTCTGCTTAAATGCTTCGTTCTTTCATTCTTTTCTTTCTTTCTTTTATCTTTCTTCTTCTTTCTTTCTTTCTTTTTTTCTTTCAGCAACGTCTTTCTTTCTTTTTTTCTTTCATTCTTAAAGCTTCGTCTGCTTCTTTCTTTCTTTTTTCTTTCTTTCTTTTTTCTGTTTAACGCTTAAATTTTTCTTTCTTTCTTTTTACTTTCTTTCATTTTTTTCTTTTCTTTTTGCTTCTTTCTTTCTTTTTTTCTTTTTACTGCTTTTCTTTTTCTTTCCTTTTCTTTCTTTCTTTCTTTCTTTTTCTTTTACTTCTTCTTTCTTTTTCAGCTTATTGCTTCTTTCTTTCTTCTTTGCCTGCTTTTTCTTTTTTTCAGCTTTTCTTTCTTTTTCTTTCTTTTTCATTTCTTCTTTTCTTTCTTTCTTTCTTTTCAGCTTTCTTTCTTTTTTCTTTCTTTTGTTTCTTTCATTTTGTCAGCTTCTTGCTTCTTTCTTTCTTTTTCTAGCTTATTGCTTCTTTCTTTCTTTTCAGTTTACTGCTTCTTTCTTTTTCAGCTTTTTGCTTTCTTTCTTTCTTTTCATTTTTTCTTTTTTATTTTTCTGCTCATTTCTTTCTTTCAGCCATTTTTTTTTCTCTTTTCAGCTTTCTTTCTTTCTTTTTGTTTCTTTTTTTTCAGTTTACTGCTTCTTTCTTTTTTTTTAACTTATTGCTTTTTTCTTTTTTTTCTTTTCTTTTCTTTTTCTTTATTTTCCTTTTCAGCTTATTGCCTCTTTCTTTCTTTTCAACTTCTTTTCTCTTTCTTTTTCATTTTCTTTTTTTTTTTCAACTTCTTCTTCTTTCTTTTTCTATTATTTCTTTCTTTCTTTTTTTCAGCTTTTTTCATCTTTCTTTTCTTTTCTTTCTTCTTTCTTTCTTTCTTTTCTTTTTTCTTCACCTTTCTTTCTTTTCTTTTTTTTTCTTTTTTTTTTTCTTTTTTTTTCTTTTTTTCTTTCTTTCTTTTTCAGCTTTTCTTCTTCTTTCTTTTTTTTCTTCTTTCTTCTTTCATTTTCTTTCCTTCTTTCTTTCATTTTCAGCTTTTTTTTCTTTTTTCTTTCTTTTTTCTTTCTTCTTTTCTTTTTTTCTTTCTTTCTTTTTCAGCTTCTTTTGTTCTTTCTTTTCTTTTTTTTTTTCTTTCTTCTTTCTTTCTTTTTCTTTCTTCTTTCTTTCTTTCTTTTTCAGCTTTCTTTTTCAGCTTTCTTTTTTTTCAGCTTTTTTTCTTTTCTTTTCTTTTCTTTTCTTTCTTTCTTTCTTTCAGCTTTCTTTCTTTCTTTTTATTTCTTTCTTTTTCTTTCTTTTCAGCTCTTTTCTTTTTTTTTTATTCAACTCATTCTTTCATTTTTTCAGCTTCTTTCTTTCTTTCTTTTTCTTTTATTGCTTTTTCTTTTTCTTTTTTCTTCTTTCTTTTCCATTTCCATTTTTTTCATTTTCAGCTTATTGCTTTCTTTCTTTTCAGCTTTTTTCTTTCTTTCTTTTTCCTTTCTTTCTTTTCTTTCTTTTTTCTTTCTTTTCTGCTTCTTTCTTTTTTTTCAGCTTTGCTTCTTTTTCTTTTCTTTAAAATTTTCTTTTCTTTTCTTCTTTTTTTTTTTCAGCTTTTCTTCTTTCTTTCTTTTCAGTTTCTTTTTCTTTTTTTTTCTTTTCATTTTTTTCTTCTTTCTTTCTTTTTATCTTTCTTTCTTTTTTTCTTCTTTCATTTCTTCTTTCTTTCTTTTTTCTTTCTTCTTTTATCACCTTTTTTTCTTTCTTTTCTTTTTCAGCTTATTTTCTTTTCTTTTTTCATTTTCTTTTTCTTTCTTTTCTTCCTTCTTTCTTTTTTTCAGCTTATCATCTTCTTTCTTTTTTTTTTTTTTACTTCTTCTTTCTTTTCAGCCTTTTTTTTTCTTTTTTTTCTTTCTTTTTCTTTCAACTTTCATTCAGCTCATTTCTTTCTTTTCAGCTTAATAGCTTCTTTCTTTCTTTTCACATTTACTGCTTCTTTCATTTTCTTTTCTTTTTTTCTTTCTTTTTTAGCTTATCCTTCTTTCTTTTTTCAAATTATTGCTTTTCTTTCTTTTCAGCTTTATTGCTTTATCTTTCTTTTTTAGCTTTTACTTTCTTTTTCTTCTTTTTTTCTTCTTTCTTTCTTTTCAGCTTATTTAAATCTTTTCTTTCTTTTTTTTCAGCCTTTTTCTTAACATTTCTTTCTTTCTTTTCAATTCTTTCTTCTTTCATTTCAGTTTCTGCTTTTTCTTTCATTTTCAGATTTATTGCTTCTTTCTTTCTTTTCAGCTTACTGCTTCTTTCTTTTTTTCTGCTTTTTGCTTTTTTTTATTTTCTTATTGCTTCTTCTTTCTTTTCAGCTTATTTTTCTTTTTCCCTTTTTCAGCTTATTTTTTTCTTTCTTTTTTCAGCTTATTTCTTCTTTCTTTCTTTTTTTTCTTTCATTTTCTTTCTTTTCAGCTTATTCCTTCTTTCTTTCTTTTTTCAGCTTTATTTTCTTTCTTTTTCAGCTTATTGCTTTCTTTCTTTTTCTTTTCAGCTTCTTTTCTTTCTTTCTTTTTTTCTTTTTTTTCTTTCTTTCTTTTTTCTTTATTCTTTCATTTCATTTCGTTCTTTCTTTTTTCAGCTTATTTCTTTCTTTCTTTCTTTTTTCAGCCACGTTCTTTTTTCTTTTTTCAACTTATTGCTTCTTTCTTTTTTCTTTTTTTTCTTCTTTCATTTCACTTTGCTTCTTTCTTTTTTTCAGCTTATCTTCTTTTAATTCTTTTTCAGCTTCTCCTTCTATCTTTCATTTTCAACCTTATTGATGCTTTCTTTCTTTTCAGCTTTCCTTCATTTCACATCTTTCTTTCTTTCTTTTTCAGCTTATTGCTTCTTTTCTTTCTTTTTCAGCCCTTTTCTTTCATTCATTTTTCAGCTTATTGCTTCTTTCATTTTCAGCTTTCTTTTTCTTTCTTTTTATTACTTCTTTGTTTATTTTCAGCCTATTGCTTCTTTCTTTCTTTTCAACGTTCTTTCTTTTCAGCTTCTTCTTCTTTCTTTCTTTTCAATCTTTCTTTCTTTCTTTCTTTTTTTCAGCCTATTTCTTCTTTCTTTTCAGCCTATTCTTCTTTCTTTTTCTTTGCTTCTTTCTTTTTCAGCTTATTTTTCTTTTCTTTTTTCTTATTGCTTCTGTCTTTCCTTTTTCAGCTTACTCTTTCTTTTTTTCAGCTTATTGCTTTTCTTTTTCCAGCTTATTGTTCTTTCTTTCTTTTTTGTCTTACTGCTTCTTTTCTTTTCTTTCTTTTTCTTTTTTTCAGCTTACTTCTTTCTTTCTTTTACTGCTTTCAACATTATTGCTCTTTCTTTATTTTCAGCTTATTGCTTCTTTCTTTCTTTCTTTTTCAGCTTATTACTTCCTTTATTTTCAGCTTATTGCTTCTTCGTTAGTTATTCAGCCCATTGCTTCTTTCTTTCTTTTTCAGCTTATTGCTTCTTTCTTTCTTTTTGAGCTTATTACTTTCTTTTTTTCAGCTTATTGCATCTTTCTTTCTTTTTCAGCTTATTACTTCTTTCTTTTTTTCAGCTTATTACTTCTTTCTTTCTTGTTCTGCTTATTACTTCTTTTTTTATTTTCAGCTTATTGCTTCTTTCTTTCTTTTTCAGCTTACTGCTTCTTTCTTTTCAGCCTACTGCATCTTTCTTCATTTTTCAGCTTATTGCTTCTATATTTCATTTCGTTCTTTCTTTCCTTCTTTTTTCTTTTTTCAGTTTTATTACTTCTTTCTTTTTTTCAGCCCTATTGCTTCTTTCTTTCTTTTTCAGCTTTCTTTTCAGCTTCTTTCTCTTTTTTCTTTTTTTATTACTTCTTTCTTTCTTTTTTTCAGCTTATTACTTCTTTCTTTTCAATAAACCAGCTTTTTTCTTTTCTTTCTTTCTTTCTTTTTCAGCTTATTGCCTCTTTCTTTTTTTTCAGCTTATTGCTTCGTTCTTTCTTTTTCAGCTTATTGCTTCTTTCTTTCTTTTTCAGCTTACTGCTACTATCTTTCTTTTTCAGCTTATTACTTCTTTGTTTATTTTCAGCTTATTGCTTCTTTCTTTCTTTTTCAACTTATTACTTCCTTTATTTTCAGCTTATTGCTTCTTCGTTAGTTATTCAGCCTATTGATTCTTTCTTTTTCAACTTATTATTTCTTTCTTTCTACTTCTTTCTTTCTTTCTTTTTCAGCTTCTTGCCTCTTTCTTTCTTTTTGAGCTTATTACTTTCTTTTTTTTTCAGCTTCTTTCTTCTTTTTTTTTTCTTTCTTTATTTTCAGCTTCTTCTTTCTTTCTTTTTAAGCCTGCTTCTTTCATTTTCAGCTTTCTTTTTTTTTCAGGTTACGGACTTTCATTTTCAACTTATTTCTTCTTTCTTTCTTTTTTTACTTACTGCTTCTTTCTTTCTTTTCAAAACATTGCTTCTTTCTTTCTTTTTCTGCTTACTGCTTCTTTTCATTTTCAGCTTCTTTCAAATTTCTTTCTTTTTCTGCTTCTTTCTTTCTTTTTCTTATTGCTTCTTTCTTTCATTTTCAGCCATTTTCTTTCATTTTCAGCTTATTGCTTCTTTCTTTTTTTTCAGCTTTTTTTCATTTTTCAGCTTATTGCTTCTTTCTTTCTTTTTCAGCTTACTGCTTCTTTCTTTCTTTTTCAGCTTACTGCTTCTTTCATTTTCAGCTTATTGCTTCTTTCTTTCTTTTTCAGCTTATTGCTTCTTTTTTCTTTTTCAGCTTATTGCTTCTTTCTTTCTTTTTCAGCTTATTGCTTCTTTCTTTCTTTTTCAGCTTACTGCTTCTTTCTTTTTCAGCTTATTGCTTCTTTCTTTCTTTTTCAGCTTACTGCTTCTTTCATTTTCAGCTTATTGCTTCTTTCTTTCTTTTTTCTTACTGCTTCTTTCATTTCATTGCTTTCTTTTTTTCCTGCTTTCTTTTCTTTCTTTTTCAGCTCTCTTCTTTTCTTTTCAGCTTTCTTTCATTTTTTCAGCTTCCTTCATCATTTTCTTTTCTTTCTTTCTTTTTTTTCAACATGCTTCTTTCATTTCAGCTTATTGCTTCTTTCTTTTTTTTCTTTTTGCTTCTTTCATTTCAACAAATTGCTTCTTTCTTTCTTTTCAGCTTCTTTTCTTTCTTTCTTTTCAGCTTATTGCTTCTTTCATTTTCAGCTTATTTCTTCTTTCTTTCTTTCTTTTCAACTTACTTTTTCTTTCTTTTCAGCTTCAAGAATTTTCAGCTTCCGTGCTTTTTTCTTTTTCTTTTTTCTGCTTCTTTCATTTTTCTTAATCATTCTTTCTTTCTTTCATTTTCAGCTCATTGCTTCTTTCTTTTTTTCATTGCTTCTTTCATTTCAGCTTATTGCTTCGTTCTTTCTTTTTCAGCTTATTGCTTCTTTCTTTCTTTCTTTTTCAGCTTACTGCTTCTTTCTTTCTTTTTCAGCTTAGTGCTTCTTTCATTTTCAGCTTCTTTCTTTCTTTTTCTTTCATTTTCTTTTTTCTTTTTTCAGCTTATTGCTTCTTTCTTTTTCTTTTTCAGCTTCTTTCTTCATTTCATTTTTTATTATTGCTTCTTTCTTTCATTTTCAGCTTATTGCTTCTTTCTTTCATTTTCAGCTTATTGCTTCTTTCTTTCTTTTTCAGCTTACTGCTTCTTTCATTTTCAGCTTATTGCTTCTTTCTTTCTTTTTCAGCTTATTGCTTCTTTCTTTCTTTTTCAGCTTATTGCTTCTTTCTTTTTTTCAGCCTGCTTCTTTCTTTTCAGCTTATTTTTCTTTCTTTCTTTTTCACCTTATTACTTCTTTCTTTATTTTCAGCCTATTGCTTCTTTCTTTTTCTGCTTATTACTTTCTTTCTTTTTCTGCTTATTACTTTTTTCTTTCTTTTTTGCTTTATTTTCTTTCTTTTTTTAATTATTCTTTCTTTCTTTCTTTTTCAGCTTATTGCTTCTTCGTTAGTTATTCAGCCTATTGCTTCTTTCTTTCTTTTTCAACTTATTATTTCTTTCTTTCTACTTCATTCTTTCTTTCTTTCTTTTTCAGATTATTGCTTCTTTCTTTTTCATCTTATTGCTTCTATCTTTCATTTTCAGCTTCTTGCCTCTTTCTTTCTTTTTGAGCTTATTACTTTCTTTTTTTCAGCTTATTGCATCTTTTTTTTTCAGCTTATTGCTTCTATCTTTCTTTTTCAGCTTATTACTTCTTTCTATTTTTTCAGCTTATTGCTTCTTTCTATCTTCTTCAGCCTATTGCTTCTTTCTTTCTTTTTCAGCTCATTACTTCCTTTATTTTCAGCTTCTTGTTTCTTTCTTTCTTTTTCAGCTTCTTGTTTCTTTCTTTATTTTTCAGCTTCTTGCTTCTTTCTTTATTTTTCAGTTTCTTGCTTCTTTCTTTATTTTTCAGCTTATTGCTTCTTTCTTTTTCTGCTTATTGCTTCTTTCTTTCTTTCTTTTTCAGCTTAATGCTTCTTCCTTTTTCATCTTATTGCTTCTTTCTTTATTTTCAGCATATTGCCTCTTTCTTTCTTTTTCCGTTTATTGCTTCTTTCTTTCTTTTTCAGCTTATGTTGTGTACGATACACCTAATTTACATAAGTGGGGTACCGACCATATAAATATGGGTTGATACCGGAAGACGAGGGATTGTAAGACGAGATCGAATCCCGAGACTCTGCCCGACTGCGATTTAGTCAACCCATTATGCAGGAACAGTCTTCCCAAGAATATACCAAAAGTAACTGTAAATATAGTGTACCTTTTCCTTGTTTCAATACATTTTGTGTTGTATTATTATTATTCCATGCTTATCCAAGTTTCAACAGCTTATTACTACTTTCTTTATTTTCAGCTCATTGCTTCTTTCTTTCTTTTTCAGCCTAATACTTCTTTCTTTCTTTTTCAACTTATTGCCGCTTTCTTTTTTTTCAGCTTATAACTTCTTTCTTTTTTTTTTTTTTTTTTTTGACGCTTATTGCTTCTTTCTTTCTTTTTCAGGTTATTACTTCTTTACTTCTTTGCTTCTTTCTTAGATTATTGCCTCTTTCTTTCTTTTTCAGCTTATTACTTCTTTCTTTCTCAGCCTAATACTTCTTTCTTTCTTTTTCAACTTATTGCCGCTTTCTTTTTTTTCAGTTTAATTCTTCTTTCTTTTTCAGTTTATAACTTCTTTCTTTCTTTTTTTTTTTTGACGCTTATTGCTTCTTTCTTTCTTTTTCAGCTTATTCTTTTCTTTTTCAGCTTATTACTTCTCTCTTTCTTTTTCAGCTTATTCTTTACTTCTTTCTTTCTTTCCTTTTGCTCTTGTTCTTATTTTAAATTTTTTTTCTTTAACTTTTCTCAGGTAAGAGGGTTACGGTTAACCCTAACCCTTTCTCACAAAAGCAGGAGCCACCATTTGGCGCATTTATTTATTAAACAGCATATATATTTATATTCTTCTACTGGCTTGTATATTCGAGAAATCTTATTAAAAAATTAATTGTACGCCTCAAGGCAGGATTCGAACTGACTTCTTTCTTGACAGGAATAAAACTGCCCTAAGATTGTTGCAGAATTTATGCTAAGTAATATATGTGTGAAGGCCTAAAATGTGCGTGTACATTATGCATTTATCCACAACAAATAAATTAAACGAACATATGAAAACTATACAACTTGAAGAAATCAACTAAAAAACTACATTGTTTTTTCTTTGGTTTCTTTAAGTTATAGATTTCAACAATATCCTAAATTTATATATATATTTGATAGGTTGTTTGTTAAACGTGGCAAGTGTGATAAGATTGCAAAGAGTGCCTATGCAGAGATTTGGTGAATGAATGTTGATGGTTTAAGTCTGTTTGTGAAATTAAAACAGTTTGATTTCTGCAAGGTAATACGTCAATTGTGTTAGTTCAAATAATAGTGTGTATGTGTGTGACAATTGTAAGTGTTGATTCAAGTTATGAAGAGTTGTGTGCCTTTGACTGATATGCTAAAGTTGATTAGATGTACAATTACTATTTCGTAGTAATAATGTCACTTTTTTAGTAAATTGTAAGTTAAGTTTCTTCACGCGGCAATAGTAGTGCGAGTTGTGTTGAGTTGATGAGAAGCTGGTAGTGTTATTGAGTCAGTGTGTTGGTACGCGTGGATTCTGCTGGAATCTCTCGAAACTCAGTGTCTGACTGACTTGAATTAAGTCGAGAGATTCTTTTTTTAATAGATTTTTTAGTTTTCCAATAGGCTCCAGACAACTCCTTTTTTTCCTGCGTAGCTATCTCAACTTGCTACATTTTTGTGTCCTTTTAACCAATGGGAAGTTGAGTTTGGAATAGTGAAGTGATGTATGGGTAAAGGTTAATTTGGGAAAAGTACATCTTCCCCTAGTGGTTGACATGTTATATTTATTGGATACACGTATTCGAGTAGACGCCCCGTTTATTTATTAAATAAAAATTCCCCATCATTTTATTCATAAATATTTCTGTGAAAATATTTCATTTGTTTTCTAAAACAGTCGGAAAATTAAAGGTGGGCAAGAAAATGGGACAGTTTAGTTTTTGAGGATGAATTTTCGCTAAGTTTATCTATGTTAAAACAGTTTATGGATTCTGCCATACTGTGGTAGCAAAACGCCTTGAGGGAAGCAGCTAAGTTAGACATCGCACAAAAGTACAGGTTTACGATCGCAGATGACAGAGACAAGAGTTTACCCTCGAGGCGTTGGGAAAATATGGCGTCGACAGTTGATGTTGCACAGAAATGGTGAAATAAATTCGACTTTTGCCCGGAAGCAACGAAATCGTCACATGGGATTGAAAATGTTTGTTTCCTTTTGCTTTGGCAGGTGTAAAGAAGAAGAATAAAAGCAGAGGGAGAAGAGCAAGAAGACGACGACGACGACAAAGAAGACGAAGAAAGAAAGGAAGAAAAGAAAAAGTAAAGGAGGAGGAAGAGATGATGATGAAGAAGAAAAGAAAATTAGACAAGAAGTAAATCAGATGTAAAGTAGAAAGAAACAAAAGAAAAATACAAAAAGAAAGTAAAAAGAAAGAAAGAAAACAATTGATGAAAAAAACACTATGAAGTAAAAATAAAAACATGAATATTAGGAAATTAAATAATAAAGGAAGAAAAAAGAAAGACAGAAAAAAACAAAAGAAAAACAGATAAAAGAAAGAAAGAAGACAAAAAAAAGAATGAAAACGAAAAGAAAGTAAAAAATACTGCTGGTGAAAAAAGAAACCAGAATATTAGAAAAGAAAGAGAAAGACTAAGAGAACAGAAAAACTGTTACCTCCGCCGACGCTCCAAATAGAGCTTGCTACCGATGATTCATTATTGTCCATACCTCCTTCGAACAGAATAAATGATATCATTGAGTTTAGATACACCGGATGTCAAAAGATTTAATCTAAAGCTAAGCGCCCGCTATATTTACCGTTTCCGATTCAAAATTGCAAATGGCGATTGTTTTGGTCATTTTCTAAACGTAGGTTAGACGTGGCACAAGGCCTAAAGTATAACGCGCCCAGTGAGGATCGAACTCACTACTCAGTTATAATTGAGTTAGCAAGACAAACTTGCTAATCATTACACCACGTCGGTTTTTGTTTTATCACCCACCCATCACACACACACATATATCTCTATCTATAAAAGGCAGGATGTGTGTTTGTGTGTGTGTGTGTGTGTGTGTGTAACGAATGCACGGCCGCAATTTTCGACGGATTTGCACCAAAATTTACATGCACACGCTCCAAGTTAGCGGGAAGGCCAACAGCGACTTTGCATTTCCCAACTCCCATCGATAGTGGAAATAATCGATTTTTTCATGCTTCTACGGCAGTTTTCATGTTGTTTGCGGCCATTTTCTACTAGCCAGAGTGAGAGTCTATAGCTGGCTGCCACGAATAGACAGGAAGATTCTATTGGCCAGCATAAGAGCCAACAACTGACTGACACGAATGTTAAGTAGCATGCTAGCATGCAAAAAAATCGATAGCTGCATTCGTCACAAGTGGGAAAAATTTAAATCTGCATGGCACTTTACTCCAATTGGCTCATTCGCTTGCTTAAACTCAACATTGATACCGCAGAACTAGGTTGGGTGTGAAAAAGTATTTGTTGTTAACATTCTTTTTTCATTCTGTTTTTGCAGTTACGAGTCCTTTTTTAAAGCTGATCGTTTTGTGTTCATTTTGTTTAGTTCTTTTTTCGTAACAGATTTAATGTTTAGTATAGAGCAGTGTGAGATAGGCAAGAAGTAAGGCATGTAGCAACATCAGCACGGCAAAGGGCACTCCTTTAAAGGCAAGGAAGGGCAAAAATATTTTAAGTCAAGTGTTAGCGATTGCTGTATGAGTCGTACGATTTTTGAATCAAGCACGGGCAACGCCGGGTCATGCTGCTGTATATATATATATATATATATATATATATATATATATAGTGGTACAAAATTTTATCACTGCCATAAACAGACAAAAATTAGTTTTATTATTACCATTCATGATAATAAAAAAGTGAAAATGAAAAACGGGCTAGCTAACCTGTTTCGAACCTCGATCAACAGACCTAAGTCGAGGTTAATAAAGTAAATTATTTAAAAAAGAACAATGGACAAAATGTATTGGGGAAAAATATTTAGATGGTAATTAGTTAGAGGCCTAATACAAAGTCTTTCTGTTTACGTAGAGAAGGCTTTAATGATAGAATATAGATGGCCTCCAACAGTTTTAGATGGTAATTACAGTGGGGCTTGCTAAGGATGGTAAAAGAGCCCACACTAAAACTAACAGTACAGTTATGGCTATTTATAAGGTGTTCTGCAATGGAAGATCCGCATGTATTGGTCAAAATGTCCGAGGGAGTGTACTTAAGGTTTCGGATTTTTGCTTGAACGTGTTCTTTTATTCTAACATCCAGCCTTTGCATCGTTCTTCCTATGTAGTACGAACCGCAACTACATTTAAAAGAATAAATTAACGAACTATTATGATGTGGAGGGAGAACATCCTTACGAATAGACGGAAGGACAGGCAGAGGAAATAACACGAGTGTTAGCGGCAAAGTAACAATGTCGAACTGCGGTAGAAAGTTGCTTATCAAACCTATCACTGATACTACCTAGCCAAGGGAGGCGGTGGTACGCAGGACATCTTTTTACTACAGCAGGTTTGATTTATTGAATTCAGCAATCTTATTCTTAATAATTGCTTGAACAATACCTAATGGGTAGGCAATGTTGCAGAGACTAGAAGTAATAAACCTAAGTTGATCATCCAACTTGATTTCAGAACAGATCATAAGAGCCCTATGGGTAAGGGTCTTAATTAAATTCATTTTGCGCTTCCTGGGACAAAAAGAATCCCAACAGGTATACAAACCAGTAAACGTCGGTTTACGGTAAACAGAAGTAATAAATCCCGACTGAGATATGCTGACCAGTACATCAAGAAAGGGAAGAGACAAATCAACCTCCTTTTCCTGTGTAAATTTCAAGGCCGGATGCATATTGTTAAGGGACGCAATAAATTAGCCCGCTTTAATCTCGCTATCGAAGAGACAAAAAGTGTCATCGACATAACGGAAATAAACGTCGGGTTTATCAGATTTTAATAATACACTCTCTTCTTGGAACCCAACAAAAATATTTGCTAAAATGGGCCCCAAAGGGGAACCCATTGAAACACCATCAATCTGCCTTTATATGATGCCGTCGAAACGTAACTCAATTGACATCGTGGCAAATTTCATCAGTTCAACAAACACGTCCTCCGGAATAACAAGCGGAGACAATTGACTACGATATAGGGCATCAGCACATATATCAATAGTCTTAGCAAGTGGAACGCAAGTAAATAATCTGGCAATATCATAGAAACACATAAATTTATCCGTCGACGAATAACGCTGCATAAAACGGGAGAATTCAAATGAATCTTTAATACAAGCAGATTTATACTGCTCAAAAACTGGTTGCAGTATAGTGGAAAGCCATTTAGCCACACCATGTTGAGAAGATCCAATCATAGATAGAATAGGTCTCAATGGTGTATCAACTTTATGAGTTTTGGGTAAGCCATAGAGACGGGGACGAATAGAGCCCGAGGGTCTAATCAAATTTGAAATATCAGTGGGCAATTTTCCACTTGTTACCCACTTAACCAGACGTTTTTGGAACTTGGCCTCAATAGATAATGTAGAATCAAATTTATCTATTGGGCCTAAACGGACAAATTTAGAGGAATTCCCAAGAATTGTCATCATCTTGTTAACATAATCATGATAGTCAAGGATGACGACGCCAGAACCTTTGTCGGGTTTCGTAATGACCAAAGATTTATTATTACGAAGTGTTTTAATTACCCGAAATTGCTCCTTGTTCCGCTTTGATTCATTATGTGAAACAGTACTTGCGTATCAATATG